ATAAAATTGCAAGATCTTCCTCCGTTGTCTTCAGTCAGTAACTGCCTCACAACAGACACGGATGAACTCCACTGGTCAGGAATTCTCAATAGAACTCTAGAAAATCTATCTTGAAGTCAGTCACTGGTGAACACATGATAATTATTCAGATTACGTTGTTACTGTTAAAAAGTTGAAGATATCAATAAGAAGGAACTATTGTGGTTCAATTCCTAAATGAAACATATGATCACATGCTATCATATATAAGATCTTGTAAGTTTACAGTGGCAAAATTATAGGATGTTATTATTTAAATGTTTATATGTGTTCTACAGGAATGTTTACTCAACTTAAATAAAGTGTGTTTTTAAAAAGTTAATAGAGTTGGCATATCAAGAAATTTAAACTTAATTAATAAGGTGGAAAGTTTTTTAAAGGCAATACAGTTACTGAATAGTTACCAGTATTATGATACTTGATCCTTAGAAATAATTGACTTGAATCATTCAATCCACTAGTTATAGTTAGTACTTAGATATTAGGTGGTTGGAGATAGTCAGTAGAGAACTGTGAACCTACGTACAGTGTTACTTAACACTCATCATTAAGGCGTATCGATAACATCGAGTGGACTGGTACAGGTGATTTAAAAATAAAACGAAAGTAATTAACAGTTCTTAAATCTCAATAATAAAATGTTTGAGTGAAAAGCTAACAATTGTTGATGGTATGAATATTAATGAAAATTTCTTTGTTTTCGAAATGACGACAAGCAGTTCAATATAAACTGTACCCGATAAAATGTGGGTATCGCTTATCGGCCTACTCATATTTTGATAGTAGTCAAACATAATTAGCAAAATAATTTCTCGAGAAAACGTTAAGTTATGGAAAAATGATATACACATCGTGTTGGTTGAAGAAAATTGGTTTATCTAAATGACCGATTTTCAGTTTAATAGTTAAAAATAAAAAGAATTACATTTTTCTAATAGAATAGATTATGAAACTACATATTAGTATCGTCAAGTTAATAAAATGTTGTACATAGAAGAACGATGAAAGCTCCACGACTAAAACATCCAGCTCAAAGAACAAAATTCCATCACAATCATCCACCTGAGATAAAAATCTTCACCATCTCAAAATCATAGTAGAAACATTTTCAACCCTGACCAACTACAAGGTCAATTAATCAGTAGTAATCTTAGCTATTGAATGATCTAATCTGACTATTGTACTTACAATCTTTCGTAGTCAAATGTAATTGTCTCTGTTATCTTTATTCACAAATCTTTGTATTATTATTATTAATCTTCAAATATTTATTCGGATCATAGATCTCAAAATTTTCACTTGACATATAAACAGATCCAAGTTAACATTCTATATGATTCATATAAACATTAACAATTTTATTTTGTCCTATTTTGTTTGACAATCTTGGATTCACATGCTTTGACTTTAAACGATGTACTTTGTTCTTAACCTGGTCATTTTTCGGATTTAATAATTTGGATTATATAATTGTAGAATCTGAAGAGAATTCATTGAAAAGAATATTCTTCATTCAAATATTAATCTTTTAGTTAATGTGCGTTTGAAATTTCTTAAAAGGAAAAAATAGATAATTCAGTTATATTTAATACAATAATTGAGATCATGAGTCAATTGAAGTTAGACCACCATGGAAAACCTGGAAGCACTTGACGGCCACTTCGTTTTATTGTGGGACTCCTCATCAGTGAGCATCCCACAACAGGACGAAACAATCATCCAGTGCTTCCAGGTTTTCCGTGGTAGTTTAGCTTCAATTGATTCATGATCTTAACTATTGAAATTACTATAATATCCACAAAAACCCCTTCTTATATTTATTAGTTAGATTAATTCAATCCACTAATACTGTATACATTCAACAATTTACTGACTAATTAGTGCTAAATTATACAAACCAGTTCAGTGTATTTAAATTTAAATGTTAACCGGATATGTAAATCATATTGAACTCATTATGTTCAGGTGTACAATAAATCCGAATGTTCATTCATGCCTTCCTTTATGCGTGATGTAGTACACTTTTATTCATCTATAAGAATGAACTATATCAGTGTTTATTTTCAGTTATAGTAGTGGTGATGGAACCGTTTGTAATAGTTACGTCCCCTACTTGATTAAGGAAGAATACAGTATACATCTATCGGCATTCGAAAATGTCGAACCTCACAGTCATAAATCGAAAGATGGAGGAAATAGAAGAGACAATAATTGAGTAAGAGTCATAAATGTACAGAAAAACAGAGGTATTTATAGTTTACAATATTTGCTATAACACCATTATAATCCAGTCAATCCTCAAGGAGGACAGTTATCCAACTGTATGTCACATACATATTCATACTTGTACAACTGAGTATGCATGATTGATTGCATGTGATAATCTACACGTTTATTTTTCCTACTTACTCAAAGCGTTTGATGACTCAATCGTATCCGCATAAATATTTGCCTGTTAAACAAAATTCATTAATCCGTCCTTCTCATTGTGTCCTCGCTAGTCGTTTGATTTAATCTGTACTTGAAATACACTTTCCTCACAACTCTGTTTCAACTTCTGGAAATTGGACACCGTTGAGAGTTATGATAAAAACCGTTCTCAGGTCGATCATTATGTGAAGTATCAGAGTAGACTCGAAGATATTCAGCAGTACACTCTCTTACATATTACTTTTCTAATACAATTGACCTAGACTGCTTCATAAATTTACTGACAAAAACAGTGCAACTCACCAAACAATTCAAGAAAAGGTCTTCATTGATCTATCTGTATGATGAAGAATTAATATCTTAGAAATTATAACAAGCAAGAAAATACGCATGCATGAGTAAGACATTTAGAAGTGGACAAAATATTTCGCCATTATAAATTTCAGATAGGAATCGACAAACGAAGGTAGCTGAAATGAATCAAAAGATGCAAGCTATTACATCTAATATAAGCTATTTTGTACAGAATGGATGGATTGTGGCCATAAGTGAACTCATCAGCTGAACATCTCAGTTTTGAGTTCACCAACTTTTCGTTTTAAACAGCAACTAAATTACTGGATCCAAATGGCCGCTAACTTGTTCAACGGGCACGACGTCTACATAACTATTGGTAAGGTTTGATTAAACATGTACCAACAGACTAATTGAAATTCGGTCCCGAGTTTCAAGTACTGGATTATTCAAAGCTTTACTTATAATTTAAGTTTAAACAATGAGAAGGAAAATTAGATTGTGCACGATACAATATTCTCTATGAAATATGTTCCACCCAATGTTGGAATGAATCCTAGTCTTGGAACTTTGAAATCAACGTAATTATAAAGTCAATTCTTAAGGAAATGGCGATCCGTCCAAACAGATTCACACCACAACGTTCATTTTGTTCACAATCAATCCAATTAATTCTCAAAACAAGTTCACGGCGGTTGTGAGATTTATGTATTTTAACTGTTGCTACTTATGAGTAGACAGTTTTTTATTGCAAACCTTTTCGTTTAGATCACATAGTACCAGTACTTTCATTGGACCAATGCATTTTTCCTTCACACAGCTACATTGAGTTGATTATTTTTGAACTTGTCTGTGCTGAGTTTTTATTTTTGTGTTTGACTTTATCACCTTGAATGTGACTTTGTAGCCTAAACTGACCATTATTTACTGTGAAATACTTTATTCATTTATTTATACTTCGAGAAGCCAGGAGCGTATTCTAACGTTAATTAATCCCGAGTGCGTTATTTCGGTACATCTACCAATAATGACTACTCAGTGAATACAGATTTCCACCAGTCGTAATGAAGCTGATTATATAAAGATTTTGACATAACTGGACAAATATTATGAAACGATTTTTAAATTATTATTATTGTTTATATTTTATTTGTGTACTTACTGAGTAACTGAAGTTATGATATTTATATATTGCGTCTTCTTTAAGCTTCCGTTTAACCCTTCAACCATCGTTATCTCTATTTTATTGTCAACTGATTTTTCACAGCCACTTTTGGCTTATTTGTGTACGATTGTGATTTTGTACTTTACGGTGGGGGGCGTTAAAGTATGTTTGGACATAAGCCCACATTTATTTGAAATGTAATAGTAATCGAAATAGGTTTGTGACTTCTTCAACATAAGGCAGGTGATGTGAACAGAGAAACAAGAAACCTTGACAAACTACGGAAGTTATTTTTCGGGACGTTATTTAATTAAATCAAAGCTTGTAAAACAGTAACATTTATTTTTGTCCCTAGTCTATTCTACATATTATAAGCTTTCGTTTGATGTATGATTCAGTGCCATAGCCCTTTTTGTCCCAAAGCTATAATAATTTAAACGTATTATTTTGTACTCTATTTTCTACGCTAATCTCCAGTTTTGGACATAATTGTATTTTCCTAATTGTTGAACGTTGTGGTCGGGTTAGTCATCTATTTATTCATGTCCTCTTTTTACACTGATCTGAAACCGGGAGCCAGATCGGAATTGAGAATAAATCGAGTAGTGTTCCAGTTAACTAGTCTTTTCTCACTCGAGTGCTTATCAGCCAATCAGGTGATAGAATAGTTTTCGTCTCTCTACCCCACTTCGAACTCACGCATACTAGCCTCAAGATTATGCCGATCAGCTTATCGCGTTAATGCCTTAATCTAGATTAGACAAGTATCCTCAGCACTAAAAGTGGGTAGACAGATCAAGGACGTAACAGCAGGGTATAAGGAAGAGCTTACAAATTCAGAACCAATAACAGCTTAGCTGTGTCGGCCGAAGATCAATAGTGCTGGTATATTCGGTCAAGTCTGGGACATTAGGCTAAAGGTGAAATAGTAGTTGAGGAATAGACAAAATTAGAATAGAAACTTCTGACTGGTAACTTTAGTACATGATATTAGTTGACGTCTTAAGATGCAACTGAATTGGTGACAAGGATGAGATTCAAACCCTAATGAATTAGTAAACTGTAAGACAAGTAACATTATACATGTGTTTTTAATGAATCTACAACAGTTTTCATTATAAATATTTGCATTAAGAATATACAATTCTATACAATTTACAAATAAGAGGTTATTTTCTGATGTTGTTTTCATCATTACGCTTTCACTACTCTTTATGTTCATACCAAAAATCTTTATAAATCATCATTCACTAAACCAAATAATCGAATAACACCTTGATCTCGTTCGTATTTCGCTTCACTTGAATAACTCAACAAATACTGTCGAGGATGCCAAGCAAGTACAAATGTAGCCGATGCATGTGTCCCAACTTGATAGACTTGTTCACCTGTTAGATTATTTTGAGAGAGGGGAGAACAAATAAATTAATTAAACACTTGTCTTATAAGTTATTGGTAAGTCTAAAACCAATTACTGACTTATCGTAACAAGTTTCATTCAACAAGGTAGTTTATATACAGTACAAAGACAATTAAATGAGTTTTTTTTATTTGACGAAATCAATTCAGTTTGAATATGAAAATAAGTAGATGGAAAACAGCAGTGTGGCTGACAAAATATGTATCGGTCTGAGTTGTTACATTCTAGATTAATAGTGAAGTGGAATAAGCACAACAATGCAGATAATAATATTAATAGAGCCAGAAAGTTGTGTGAAGTAATGAATTATTTTTTATGGTTAGCGTTTTTTAGCAAGTTAGTTATCTACGGGATGGGGTAACTAACCTCATGCTCAACCCTCCTAATTTATCCCGGCTTGGGACCGGCAGTAACCCGGACGGGCTCCAAACGGGGTTTTTTCAAGTCCTTTGTCGGGCATTTCTCAACAATTGACCGAAGAAAACATTACGTCGAGAAACGGAGACAGACATGAGAAGAATTAACAATTGGATAGAACTAAAAAGGAAGGCCTAGGACAAAGTGGGTTGGAGAAAGTAGGTTGGCGGCCTATGCTCCATTGGGAGTAACAGTAGTGTGAATTAATGACCAGTAGAGTGCAACCGTGTCGAGTGTGAGGTAGTTAATCACCAAAGACAATGAAAGATAGTTGCACAATATATTGGATTGATTACAGTAAGATGATGACTCAGTCATTTAAAAATTAAGAGACCTGAATGTACTGTGTTCGATCCACAATGTAGTTATGAATGCGCATTTCCCATTATAAGACAGAACAATTATCTATTGCTTTCTGGTTTTCAATAACTTCTCAAATTAGATCGTTTTCCAATCTTGATAAACATTGAAAACTTTAATTTTTTTCGGACACTTTTAGCTTATGACAAAAAAAGACTCCACTATTAAACTTTTACATCTGTTTTCATCCATAAATTAAGTGCATCAGTAGCCTTAAAGATATTTATAGTTATCCAAACGTTCATACTCATGCTCTACTAAAATACCAATTAAAATTAAAATTGTATTATGAATAAAAGCTACAATTCTTACCTGTTTGTACATGGCCAATATCAATGAAATGATCTTCGCTAGCTGCAGCAATTAACTTGCCATCATAAGAGAATCCCAAAGTGCGTACTGGCCATTCTAAGCTATTGATGAGAAAAAAATACATTAGAAGAATAATACTTCGTGACAGTCATTACTTTTTATAATCACAATAGCCCATCATTTTATTTAAGTCAGTCATGATAACCATAGAGCTTCGTAAAGGTGTGTGTTAACCCAAATTACCACAGCACAATAGTAAAACGATATGAATTTAAAAAGGTGAATACAAAAGCAGTCAAAATAATGTAATACCAATGATAATGGGAAAGATTAAACATTGAGAATATGGTTCGAAAAGGAATATATTAAAGAATACTGAAATCCAAAACCTGGAGTAAAATAAAAAGTGGATACACCTTCGCGATTGTGATCGGTATTGAACCATGCTACTTAAAGTTTTCAACCACTGACCGAGATTGTCACACGAACCTCAGTCAGCTGTCTAAACCTATAAACACGACTCATCCCAACAGTCAGTGGATACACGGACTGATGTCATGTCTTAATTTTCTCGCATTTAACTTTCTTCCAATCTACTATTACATCACTAAACATTATGCGTCGATGCAGGCGGTGGCTAGACCTATGGAGAATGTGTTTCGAACACCTCATTTGATGAAGACTCATCAAGTGTTTCGCCACTCTAAGCCTAACGTCAAAATTGCTTACTTAGTTGTTCCACTATACTCGAACAATGCTTCGAAGATCAAAATAAATGTTTTCTGCTTTCAAGATAACTGAAGTTTGTTGATATGCTAGGTAAACAAAAAAGATAAGATGAATAATGTATCTTATTTATTTACTTATTATTTTGTTTGCTAGTTTAAAGTTGATGAAATGTTAATCAAGCACAATTTAAAGCAGTATCGAGAAACAATATGTTAACAACAGAGATAAGAAAGTATAAAGGAAAACACAACGTGATAAAACGTTGAGGATTCAGAAATAATAACAAAAAACTAGTTGAATTTGAACTATTTCCATGGAAGGGGTTTCGTTATTGCTTTCTGAAGTCCTACTATAGAAACTGGCTAAGTATTAAAAGTTACTAAAATGAGTTGTATCAAATGATAAAATAAGTAGGAAAATCGAATGTAATCAGAAACAACATAAAAATGACTAAAAAACGGTTTAAAGTGAACTAAACACATGAAAGATAAAAAACGATTTAAATGACCAAAATTTAAGACTATAGGAATAAATAGTTTAATGACTTTATAATTATGAGTGAGTATTATTGAACTTTGAAGGACTAAACGTACATTGAATAAATAAACCTGGCAAACAAATTGATGCATACGTCAAACTGATTATGTGTAAGAGCTTTTTTCTTAGGCTACTAGAAACGCCTGTCGGTTAGATAGCAATGAGTCTTGATATTAATCCGAAATCGATGTGGTAGAAAAGTTTTTAATAGCTTCGTTTGTAAAATTATTATGCTCTTCAACATGTTTATTCCCTACTTTGTTTCTTTGACATTTTTAACAACAGTTATATTTTTAATTCTTTAATAAGATCTCTTTGGGTTCTTATTTCTTTATTCAATCCTCTATTGTATATCTTATTTATTTATTTGAACACATAAATATTGGTACAAAGAGGTACCGAATACATATGCGCCACGCAAGTCACTTGATTTGTGTGTGGGCTGTGATACTGCCCGCGTGCCCAGATCAAAGCAAGCGGTTTTCTTAGAGGGCCACACACGGAGCCCTTGACCTAAAGGTTTGATCCACAAGGCAGTGGAGCAATGTCGGGAGATGCAGTCCCATGGCAGCCGGTGACCAACAATTGATTCATATGTCATTTGTTCCTTCAGGATCGTGGACCAATGTATACCACTGATTTGGAATCAGGATTTTCCAACTACCCTAGGTGGATCCTTCATATACACCAGCCCGGTTAAAGCACCGAACATTCGCTTTTTGTCCTCTCGATTTCGTAAACAACACCCCTGCCGCGAAGGCAGTGGTTGTATACGCGTAGCCATGTGAGAGCATTTCGAGGGACAGCTGACTCTCCACACTCTCGGCCGTACCAGGACATTTGGGGGCTATTGAACATCATCAAAATATTACGGACGGTCAGTTGAAGTATTGTATATAGTTTGAATGGAACGTTAGTTAAGTGGCTAAGGAGTTTAACTTTCAGCCACTAAGTCACAGATTCGAAACTTCCTTTATTTGTTTCAATTTGAGCAAACAGATAGTATTGCTACTAGCCCTTACAGTTAGGAAATGAATGGAAGTCATTTTCATGAACCTATATTTAATAAATGAAATCTAATTTAAAAAATATAGTTTTGAAAAAATAAAGTTACTGAAAAATTCGATAAACTTACCGAGATAATGTACGTAGGCAAACAAATTCATCTGCATCCCAAATGGACACCAGAGCATCTGCACTACCAACAGCAAATTGATGACCTGTTGGTGAAAATTGAAGACACATTGCATTGACTGGGTGAGCTTGGATACTTGCTTCACGTTTCATGTCACCTGGTTTCCCACTTTGATAAAAAAAATCACAGAATCAAAAGGCTTTTTATTTATAAGAAATCTCAGATTGATCAGTCAGTTTATACTACTCAGACTATTACTGAATTAGGAGGCTGTAAGAATAATAATTGATAATCAGTGTGATTATGCTGAGAGAATACAAATAAAATAAGTAACATTTTTTAAAATGGTAGATACTGGAAAGAAAGGATTTCATTTGGTCAAGGCTTTTTATAAGACTTGTTTAACATAGCTTATTATTTTTTAGTTTAGTCAATTAAAAGAACTGGTCCGCTAATAATTTGTAATCTGTTGTATTACTTCGTCACTTCCATTATAAAATATATCCACAAATTATTTGTAAAAACATATCTGTGCTATGACATTAGTAATCAGAACTTTCACATTGCATAAAATGCAGTTACCATGAAATGGAGACACTTAAAAGTTTATTTTGTTCGATCAAACCTGTCCGTTTAGCACTGCGTGCAATCGACAGACACACTACCTAAGTAAAACTGATGTCCGTCAACCATATTTTAGAGAGTTACATACTATTGAGTACTTTAAAACACAAACAAAAGGAAATCCTACGGAGCACAAATAATAAAACCTATCATTTCAGATAGTTAGTATATCAGATAGCTACGGTATATTTCTTGTAAGATTGCCGATATGTCAAAAGATAGTTTTGAAAACAGGGCATTATAGAGTTAATTATTTACTTAAATAGGAATACCTTACCAGCAAATATGAAGACGATATTATATTTGTCTAATAATACACAAAAAATGCTGATCTGTTGGCATATATTTTGAATTGCTATAATTAAAGTTACTATGCTACCACAACTACCACTTCACTACCTAGTTTCCAACTATACGCTATTATAAACAATTTTCAGTCTATTTTATGGTTAGTAAGTGCACAATAAGTTCCAAGGATCCGTAGAATTAGGGTTGAAGCTTTCATAAGAAGCTAGGATGGATTATTTACCAGATAAAACTACATTTCTTAAGTAATCCGAGTACACTGTAAGATTTTTACAGGAAAATATATGGAGGAATATGCCGAGTGCAAGAAGCTGAGAAGTATGTGTTGTAGTCTGATAAGTAGCACGAACCAACTGTTACGCACTCAATAGGAAACAAGCGACTCTTCGTCTTCCCAAGTCTGTTGTTCTTTAGTTTGTGGGCCTCATAGTTTTATCATATTAATCACGGTAGTTTTGCTACAGGGTATTAAGTCAGCCAGTTACAACGTAGAGCCTGATAGATGTATACATCGGTTCAAATCCCCATAACCCATCAGTGCAATTATTCGTCGCAAAACTTAAGTCTAATTTCTCATTGTCAGTTTGTTTTCTTCTTGTCTCATTGATAAATATACAACAATAGCTTCCAAATAAGTTCCCTCAAAAATGTGATCAGTGTGATTGGAAAATTTGTTGCTACTTTTGAAAAGAATTGTAATTAAGTACCAACCTGTAGACTAATATACTTCCAAGACCAGTAGTTAAAAGAAACGCTTCCCCGCTAGGGTTCCAGGCGAATTCATTAATTTCTGAAGTGAACTGTTCCGCCTGTACCACTTTGAAACCAGCACGCAAATCAAACCATGAAACCTAAAACAGTGGTAAGCAGATAAATTTGCAAACAACTCTTCAGTATGAATAAAACGCGAAAATTATTACTGGAGTAAAACCTACCTGGTAACAAACATATTTATGCACTTAAGACAAAAGCCATGAACGTGGTAACGGAACTTTAGCGATCTGAGGTAATAAAAATAGTTATATTTTTAAATCTTGGACATAAGATTTAGCTGGTAAACAAAATGCTTAAATCACGCAAACTAGGTATCTAAATAAAAATCCTACCAAATGAATAACAAATAGACAACAATCGTTATACTTTGGGTGACATGGCTCAGAGTCGTTTGCAAAAGCGAGGATGCACATACTCTGTCTTTCTCTAGAACATGACTCCCGAAACTCTCCTATCCCTTATTTTCTCGTACCTAATCGTTTTTTACAACTACTCTGAGATTTATTTGGAAACAATTTTATTTTGCTATGTGGCATTCCTACAGTTGAAGAACACATGAAACTCAAAACAGCTGTAAACCAATATCAAAGCCAAAATCCTCAATACGAACATCAAGACAGTTCTACTGTACGTAACTGAAACTTGGAAAACTAGTACAACCACTATCAAAAATGTACAAGTATTTATAAACAGTTGTCTACGCAAGATTACTCAACATACATTGGTCGGATACCATCATTAACAACCTACTGTGAGAGAAAACAAACCAGCTTCCACCCGAAGTGGAAATTAGGGAAAGACGCTGGAAGTGGATGGGACATATATTGCACAAGTCATCAAACTCCATCCTAAGGGAAACGAAAAAGAGGAAGACCAAAGGACGCACTGCACCGAGAAATGGAAGCAGATATGATTAGGATGAACAACAACTAGAAACAACTTGGAAGGATCGTCCAAAACAAATCTCGACTAAGAATGCTTGTGGACGGCGTATTCTCCTCCACGAGGGGTAACAAGCGTATGTTAATGTGGCATGGCATCTGCTAGATCCGATCTCTTAAAAACGTGCTTAACGTTAACTACAAGGTTAAACGTAAGTCTTGTTATGTATTCACAGTGGAACATTTTCACAGTCACTGAAAGGTAAAATTGAGATGAAATGGTTTGAAGATATTGAAGCTACAATAAACCAAGGAACCCCTAACTTCTGAACATGGATTAAAAACAAAATTGAAGTTATTTGGTCTTACAAAATAAACCAGAAACTCGCTGCCACTTTCAAGGCTGGTCAATTAAGATACAAAGTAAAATTCTAAAGTTGCTTTTGGTTTCGAATAAATCTTATAATTGCGTTTAGAAGTATATCTGTCGTAAAAACGAATTTAGTTGTGTACATTAACAAACAACATTAATTTGATTGCATGTATTGGTTAACAAATAACAAAGTGAAAAAAGACAGCTGTGTGAGCAAAAAAGGAGGTTAAATAAGCATACCAAATCTGTTTTGCTACCAACAGCGATGTAACGTGCATCCGGTGACCATGCCAAATTAATGTTCTCCCCTTTACATTGTGCTGTGATTGGATCTTTTTTGGTCCGACAGTCCCACAAACGAATAGCACTATCTGCACCCACAGTTGCAACAACATCATTATCTGATGGGTGCCAACAAAGTTGGTCTACGCTTTCATTATGTCCTCGGAAACTATGTACTTTTGTCTGAAAACAACCGATAGAGCAAAATCTAAACTAACTAATCTTGTGGACTCCAGTGAGTATATATTTACAAGCTTGTCAGATGATCCAGATGCTAATCTCGACCCACTGCTATTCCACCCAAGTGTATGTATTTTCCCCCCATAACCAGAGAAATCCTTAACACGGGAATTCTTAAGAAAGTAACTTTTCAAGCGAATAAGTTCTTCTGATTTCATAATGTCACCTTTTGAGAGCACCTCACATCAAAATAAGGCAACGATCGAGTGGCGCCGTTCACCGACGGAGGTTACTGAGCACTTAAAGGTCAAGGTAACGCTGGAGTTAAATCTGACTCCGTTTCGTAATTTTGGCATTGCACTTAGAGACTAATCAGAACGAGGCGGGAATTATCGTTTCCACCATCTTTAAAAGCAATGATGGTCCACTTGCCTCGTTGTGTGTGTTTTTCCACTTTCATTTTGGTGTGGCTGCATACATCAATATTTTAGTTTGCTAAGATTCCGCAGTTTATGTAATACTCCATATGTTGGAGCCTTTTTTCGAATCCGCTTTGATTTCTCGGTTTTTGCTACTGCTACTCAAGTCAATGCATCCCTTCGGGCAACCTTGCTTTTTCATGTGACAAAATGTTAATCCGTTTTTTTAGTATAATTTTGTAGATATCGAAAATCACGGTTTTTTTTGTAGCTAAAAAAGATGTTGCTGCTGTCTGGGATTCTCTAGCTGCACTCATGTTCGTTCGTAACTTTCATCTATGATGTTATAAGGCGCAGTGAAAGAAGACGGTCTCTGGTTTGTTATTTTCATCAGTATTTTGGATAACTATATCCCATCAGCGAATCAAACTAATACTGAGCGTCTAGTAGTAGTGGATACCAGTAATGTTCTCGGGAGGATTATGAGACCCACGCACTTAACATCTTGGAGTCAAGTCAGAGGTTTCATTGATCTATCTCAGGAGGTTTGTTATTAAAAATACACCACATAGCATTATTAGATGAGTTGGAAGCATTACGTCTTACGTGAAAGCAAGTTTAACATTAGAAAGCCGGAAATCCGCTACCAGTATGTGGTGTATGTCTGTTGTTTTGCCCATAAAAGGAAGTTGGAGGGCCATTTGTGAGGACGACTAGAACGCTCATTACTCGTGTCTATACTTCGACTACTGTGACGCTAGGGGCTAGGGGCGCAACGATGTTTCCTTTAGTAATCTATACACGGACCCGCGTCTTTACGTTATTCAAGAAAATAGCAGGAATGTGTACTGTATTACTCCCGAAAGTTACTTCTTACATGTGAACTATGCGCTAAGACGTTTGCATCTCATGGATTTCTCACGAATGTTACCTTGATAAATCAAAATAGGATCGGCCTTACAAGTTTATTCAGGAGTAGTTTCAATAACAATGGAATATCAAACAACATTTACACCAGGTTTCCATTTACAACTTTAACATTGATAATATTAAGCTGTAGTCCTTTTACTTTTTTGGACTAAAGGACAAAAGAACTAGTAAATGGTGGAAGTGATTGTAAAGCTAAAGTGAGCTTTCAGCTCCCTTTTAAGAATCTTTGTAGAAGTTTCTGTTAGTAGTGCTCTCCGTAGATTGTTCCGTAGTACCATAATTCTGATGGCGAAACAGTCTATAAGGTAATCTGTGAGGTTTCCCAACTGTTCTATTCTAAATAAACAAATAGTACTGGCTTTAGTCAACAATATGGAGTAATTCAATAAACAAATAATATGTTTTTAATCAGGGAATTCACATAAATGTGGTTTGCTGACATGCTCATGAATATTATTTAACGATTAGGTCAGCTCTTATAACCTGCGCAAAGCGTAATATGTGTTCAATGTCGTATTGCACGGCTTTTATTCATTTACTCCCATTTATGTATTCTAATGCATATGCATCTCTTTTCACGAGCAAATATCCAACGAGAGTTAGTGTCTGACAAACTAAAATTTCAAATTGTTCAAAGGTTTTTAATACCAGCTCACAGCCAGTTGCATTTAATTAGGACGTACAATAATGCTCTTCCAGGACTGTATACTGCTTTTTTTCGGAAAAGTGAAAACACAGACACTTGGTTGTCCAGCTGTCGATTTTAACGCAGGGGAAATCGTTTAATAGCAGTGATCTTGAAATATGGTCGAGGCCAGATGTACACTTTACAAACGCACATCAAGCATATTTATCACTTTTTTTCAAAATGAACACTACTTAATAATGTATGACAACAGCAGAATCCAAAGTACTTCCTTCTATTTATAAGCAGACTGATTTGCATTATACTCATTAAGAGGGGACTGATATGGGCGTCACTATAAATTATCTATCGTTTTAAGTAAAGCCCAAGTTATAATAATGCGTTTATATTATTACTGTCTCACATGAAAATTACAAACGGAGTGAATAAGTGATATGTTTGAACTAATGGAAATATAATAAATTTGATATATCAACATCATATCCTCCTGTACTGTACAAGTTCTAAACTCTCAACATCAGCTTCCGGGAGCTAGTTACACAGTAATGTATACATAGTCTCTCAGTGATCGCTTTCTAGTTATGATGCTTAAGCACACTATGGGGAACGAAAGATTTAGCACATTTACTCACAAAACTGATCTGCTTCATTACTTTCTTCAAGCACTATGATTACATAGATCAAACTGAATCATGAGATTGTAGTGACTCACATTTATCACGAGAACACGACTGGTTTAATAAAAACAGTTATTATTATAACCAACTGTACCAGTGTTTGTTTTAATGTGCTTTTGTTTGACTGTGCTAATGACAGCTATATTGTGCTTCCATTCTTATTCTTACACTTTGATTGTGACTTTCTGTAACCAAGCTTGTATCCTGGCACGATCTCGGTATTCTTTCAATACCACGAGATCGCCAGCAAATATATCTCGACTTAGTCCATTAACTGCCTTCTGATATTTGTCTTCTCGGGGATTTTATGGATTTATTTGGTTACGTTCAACCTTCGCCTTCTGATTTATTTGGCACGTGTTTCTTGGTAGTGGTGTTCATAGTTAACCTCAACTCGACACCACGCTACAAGATAACCAAGTATACTAAACTAAACAGGTGTCGCAATTATTGTTCTACTTGCACAGACATGTTACTTAAAATAGTTAAATATTGATAATTAAGCCTGTACACACAAAGAAACGAACTAACGGCCAGTTAAACTTACCTAGCAGAGGACAAACGATATTGTTTACGGACTGAAAACAATAGTAATTTATGCATCAAAACATAGTTTTCAGCGCAATAAACCTTTATCCAGCAACATTATTTATTGACGGTCTACTTAAAAAAATAGTGAATTTTATTAGGCTTCCTCTGACTTGCAATATCATCCCAGCATGCACTGCATGTCTGATGTGACGCAGTCTGACATGGTAAATAAAAATTACAGCCACAGCAAAATTCACAGCGTAATCTATTTTTAGTAAAAGCCACATCACAACATGATATATTGATTACATGAACGTAAACTTGACCATTATTCTGGTCTGCGACACATTAAGTTGACGTGACAACGCTGAGTATAAATCCAACCTTAGTTTCATAGTCGTACGATATACTAAATGGATGTCTAACTATAGTATTCGAATACTCGTATGAACTAGGAATTCCAGGATTAACGCAATTGAATTAAGAAGACACAGGCACAAACGAATGTATTGTATTTAGAATTCGAAATCGAGCATTCAACAAGTACAAAGGTATCATTGGTTCATTCAAACACCACATCCGCCACAGCTTAAATTGGAGTCTAGGTGTTTGTAATCAATCGTACGTCTTCTTCTCAAATTCATCCTGAGTCTGTCTGACATTGTATTGGATAAGGATTCTGTATTATCTGGTTCCTGAAATTGTATTTGATCTACATGTCGACTGTGTGTACTTAAGTCATCGATGTCTAGAATTCGCACCATCGATTTTCCGACATTCTTCAGAACAATACCCGTAGATGGTCGAAGATCATTTCCTCGATAGTATGTAACCTCTGCAGACTCCAGACATCTCATATTCGACCGAAGAATTCTTCCTTTCAATAGCTTCGCTGGAGTCTCCTTCGTCACCGAATGTTTGGCATTTCTATATTGCAATAGAAAGGTATCTACTCCCCTCTCCAGCTCATTAAATGTTGAGGGGGCTATAGAATCAATAGCAGTCTTTAATGTCCTAACAAAATTCTCTGCCTGACCATTAGAACACGGATGTCTGGGAGCAGTAAATAGATGTTTGCACCCTATAACGTTCAACCAGGTAGTGACTGCATCTGCAGCAAAATGTGAGCCATTATCAGTCACCAACACCAAGGGAACACCTTCTCGACTAAACACCTTTCTTAATGCTTGTATTGTGAAATCAGAATTTGGTGAAGTTGTGAAAAAAACTTCAGGCCACTTTGAAAAAGAATCAATGACTACTAGTGCGTAGTATTTACCAAGAAATGGTCCACAATAGTCAGCATGAATCCTCTGCCAGGCCTCAGACGATACTGGCCATGGCACCCACTTCGAAGGATGATTTTTCAACTGATGACATTTCTCACAATTGTTTGCCGTACGACATATATCTGGATTTATCTCTGGCCACCAGCATGTGAGCCTTGCCAAGGACTTCATTTTCTCAACACCTAAATGACCACTATGAAGATCTTCAAGAACAGATTTACGCAATGAAGGAGGAATAACAACACGATCGCTTAAACACAGAATACCATCAGGAGTAGTAGATAACTCATCCCGCTTTGAAAAATAGATAGGAAATCTCCGTTTCAAATTAGCATTCCAACCTTTCCTTATAGCACTGAGTATACATCCAAAATATCTACGAGTTTCTCTAATGAGATCTGAACGTCTCACTGGTAAAGGTTGCACTAACAAACAATCCGAAGTATTATTAGGTTTATCTTGTAATGACTGTCGAGAAATGTAATCAACATGTTGAATCTGTTTGGCACTTCTGTGCTGAACCGTATAGTCATATGCACTCAAAGCAATACTCCATCGCTGAACCATAGCTGCTGAGGAACGTGCTAAGGATTTTTCGGGATGATAAATAAACTTTAAAGCTTCATGATCAGTAACAATAGTGAATTTCTTTCCGAACAAATATTTATGAAGTCTTTTAACAGCCCAAAACACAGCTAATGCTTCTCGCTGAGTCTGTGAATAACCTTGTTCAGTAACAGTAAGTTTGCGTGAAACACAAATAACTGGTCTACCTTCCTGTTCCAAAACTGCACCAATTCCCACAGGTGATGCATCAGTAATAAGCACAGAATGTACATTAGGGGAGTACGTTCGAAGAACAGCATCACTTTGAAGAAACTTCAG